TAAATAACTTGATTTGGCTGTTGTTTGCTCTTTTTGCGTTGTGTGTAGCCACGAGTATGAATCTGCTGTGTGCTATTGCATCAACTTTAGTTCTCAGTTGGTGCTTGTGTTCCTGCGATTAATAGCCTTTTCGTCTGCTTTGTTCCACCATTCTAAGTCTATGAGCGTCAGCTGGGCGGAATTGCCGGAGCCCCCTACTACTGCATCTCTCCTAACTATACAGTGGTTTCTAGACGCTAAAACGCAATAATTACCATAAAAAATAACTGGAAGGAGCATGACGAGCGAAATGTTATATCGTTTACGTTTGTTAGGTGAACTTCACGAGAACATTATTATGACCGCACTCATAAACACGCAGATGCGCCGTGAACTGCGGAACGGAACTGAGTGACTCCGGCTTTTCTTGTTTTTAACTCGACAACTTTCTTGGTCCGAATCTAACCACGTGATGTGAACCAGAACATCGATGTTTCGAAGAAAATATACCACATTTGTCGTGATATGGTGGACCATGCCAGAAAAGATTGCAAGTTACATTATTTAACTTAACGATTCTTTGTCGCCATCGCAACACAGAAGACCAAAATCTAATGCACTCGTTTATTACGTCACTTAACTTCGCTTCCCTTAGTTGCTAAACAAGAATTAAAACTCACAGGGTGCCTTACGTGTTCACCTAAGACGACTCGAAGATGATAGTTATCAACTTCTCTTTCATTTAGGTCGATGTATTGACCTCCCCCGCCCCGCCGTGGTGGTCTGGTGGCTAAGGTACTCGGCTGCTGACCCGCAGGTCGCGGGTTCGATTCCCGGCTGCGGCGGCTGCATTTCCGATGGAGGCGGAAATGTTGTAGGCCCGTGTACTCAGATTTGGGTGCACGTTAAAGAACCCCAGGTGGTCAAAATTTCCGGAGCCCTCCACTACGGTGTCTCTCATAATCAAATGGTGGTTTTGGGATGTTCAACCCCACAAATCAATCAATCAATGTATTGACCTCCCCCCCCGCCTTCCGTCTCTCTCTCTGATACCGTTCAGCACCTAAACGTGGTTTTTCACTGCCTCAAAAATGGGAGGCATTCCGAACTTTCCGTGGTTTCGCGCTGCTACCTTTATTGGCCTACCTTTGTCCAAGCGCCTGCAGGTTGCGCAAAGACGTTCTGACGACAAACTGTGACGTCATGCGGAAGACGTTGCGAATTTTGGTGATCGGGGACGTTACAGTAACCTCATCACGTGATGGTGTTTTCGAATCACTCGTTTTCACGTCTCCAATTACGACGGTGATTTTTTCACGTTTGAATCACCTTGTAAATTCATAAGGGGTCTCCTATTCAGTGGTCTAAGGAGATCGTAAAGGTGAAAGCTGTTGGCCGGGATTCGTCTTTATTTTTTTAATCCTCTTGGCGTCACACTTTCACAGAGACGAATTGAGGGTCATGCGAGCACGGTTCCATGATTGATATGTGGGGTTTAACGTCCCGAAACCACCACATGATTATGAGAGACGCCGTAGTGGAAGGCTCCGGAGATTTCGACCACCTGGGGTTCTTTAACGTGCACCCAAATCTGAGCACACGGGCCTACAACATTTCCGCCTCCATCGGAAATGCAGCCGCCGCAGCCGGGATTTGAACCCGCGACCTGCAGGTCAGCAGCCGAGTCCCTTAGCCACTAGACCACCGCGGCGGGGCGAGCACGGTTCCTTACTCATAAAATGAGGCGAACAGCGAGAATGCGAACTGAGCAAAGCTAACTCACAGCACGCGAGAGAGTCATGTGATACTTTTAGTGACACGTGTGTGGTCGCCGACAATGGATACTGCCAGACGGCCAAATTCCAGGGAGCCTTCCTCCATCTTGGAAGTTTCGTTGCAATAGTACTCTATCCCACCAGACACAAACTGATGTGTTTTGCCCGTTTACTGCTAAACGTTGGAGTTACCGTTGCCAGGTGCTATTTGTTGCCTTCCGTCAGACTATTTTTCGTTTAAACTTTAATGCTATTATGAATTGTGGATTGTTAATTTTTTTGCTCAGACATTAGTCATTTTGCATGCTGTACAATTGTGTAATGTGTCATTTCCCACTCCTGCCAAAGCTCTGACGGGGCTGCACCATGTACGAATGAATACATAGGTAAATAAGAAATAAATAAATAAATAAATAAACTCTTTCTTAGCAAACAAACCTCGAGTGTCTATGGGGACTCAATAGAAAGGCAGCGCTAATATCGTTTCAAGTTCCTCGAGGTTATGTGGAAGCACGTTGCGTGAACATACAAGTGAGGCACGCTATTCACTGATGAGACATCTACAATTCAAGAAAAAGCACCTACTATAAGGTCGTAGTAATGAATAATTGTGTATCAGAAGTAAATGTAGGACACCATTTTTTTACAGAACGTTCTTGAGCTTCGATGTTAATTTTTAACGACTACATATGTTCCACTCCATTAGAATTTTTATAAGATATTCATGCCTGGAATTTAGGTCGTATAGCAAGACATGCAGACAGCACATGAGGAAGTCGCGATTCGTTTCAGCTTCCATATTTTTATCACTGTTACATTTTGACCTGTTTGCCTTCAAGAGTCACTTCCCAGCCATCATTTAAAAACTGTCAACGTAAATATGGCGAGAAACAAAACTGACAAAAAGAGCCTTTTTACTAATATGACGCGTGTAACCTTGTAGGGAGAAGGCGCTCGCGACAAGTTCAATGTATAAAGAAAGAGCTGTATCACGACCCTGATTATACACATTCATCACTGTTGGCGATGTTGCCGGTGCCATCATGCGGTTACGGTATCGACGCGCATACTTGACCCACGGGTGAAAGTTCTGCAACATCTACCAAGACACGTTGGCAAGTGCTGTCCGTTTGGCTGCAAAATCACAGTGGGCGACAGCATGTACTACGTACATACGCTCGACAAGGCAGGAATGCCAGCGCAACGATAGCCACCAATGCAGAACTGGGATAGATCGTCTGTGCTTAATGTACTGGTATATCATTTGTTATCGTGAGATACGGTGACCATGGGAGAGCGATTTTTTTTGTCTCTCTGAAGTTTAGTCTTCAAACTATAAAGGGCCTCTACCAACCCAAACACCACACCAAATTCCACCCAATGAGGGCTATCGTTCCGGCCTTCTTGAATAAAGGTTATTTTTTTCTTTCTCTCAAAGGTCAAACTGTAGTTTCTTTTTCGCCTTCACTACCTTTCCTGCGATTGCTATCTCCCCCTTGTCACTTATTTTACCTTAAAACACAAAAAACGCGGAATGTCTTCGATAAGGGTTCAGACAGTCAGCATTTAGCGCTATATGAATACGCGCTGCTGTCTCTGCTTGCATCGTCGCAACTGAAGAAAACGAAAGGAAACTAGTTCCTCCCACACAATAGTCGTACGATACAAGGCGAAGCGGGTAAGCTAATGCATGAAAAATTACGGTAGGAAACAATTCGCCACAGATATTTCTGGTTTATCACACCAATCGAGAGCTTATTTCATGCTCACTTGATAAGACAAATGCGTGGGCTAGTGCAAATATGTTGATTCATCCTCACGTCACGCAATCAAACATCTGGCGTCGCTAATTGTACCGCAAAGACGTCAAACCCAAGGAGAGAAAAACTCTCTCGTTATTGTAATTTTAAAGGCTGTTCCGGGGCCCTTTGAGCTATTATTCATCACTTTACGCTCTGACACGCCGCAGCTCCAAGATCTATGCACCTCCACAGCGATTACTTTTTTTGGGCTAAAAAAAACTTTTGAATTGAAAATGTTTAAAAAACGGAAACTTATTGAGTTCGCCCCACTGATCTGTATTCGCATAAGCATCTTGTGCTAAAATTTTTGTTAGTTTATACTTAACTAAGCTGCCTCTGATGCAGAATATTTTTAGATAAGCCAGCAATACAATGACGGAAGATATTTCCGTAAAGGACGTTATCTGATTTAGGCCCACGGGACCGAATTCACAAGGCTCTGTAATTGACATGTGGGGTTTAACGTCCCAGAACCACCATATGATTATGGCAGACGTCGTAGTGGAGGGCTCCGGAAATTTCGACCACCTGGGCGTTTTTTAGCGTGCACCCAAATCTGAGCACAGAGGCGTACAGCATTTTCGCCTCCAACGAAAATGCAGCCGCCGAAGCCGGGATTCGATCACGCGACCAGCGGGTCAGCAGCCGAGTACCTTAGCCACTAGACCACCACCGTGGAGCTCACAAAGCTCTGGTAAATATATGTCCAGCATACCAATAACTGCATGCTAACTAGAGGTTTCACTATTAGTATGCAAGCATGCGCTTACTGGCTGCGAAATCTTCTACCAAACAATAGTATAGCGTAAGACGTTCTTGCGAATAGTGCAACATTAATTCGCAAAACGCATCTAAAGTGTACCAGAATTCACGGATCCTAAGTGCTTCTCCATACTGGTTGGGAACCTGTGCCAATTACACGTTCGACATACGCGTTAACTGGCATCAGCACTGCCAGTTAACCGTGCAAGAACCAGAACTGTCTTTCTGTGCGAGGATGCGGTGCCGAATCTCTGCCATTTTAGTGACTACGTGAACAGCCGCGAAAACTTGCGGACAGCCTGTGCTATACAATGTCATTGAAAAAGTGACACGAAAGTGTATAAAAAAAGGGAAAGAGAGGCTACATTAGCAGCAATCACAACAGTGACAACGTCGCGTGCAAATAGTTTCTTTACGTACTTCACGCCTTTCTGCGCCCGTCGAGCCCCTTGTTTTAATCAGTCAGGCTGAAGAGGTACGCTAATTGTGACATCAGCGCTTGCGGTGAAAAAGAACGAGCCGCAAACAAGCCGACGGCGACACCGGGGTTCCGCGCTAAGCGCGCAGCTGCGTCGAGCGGCAATCATCGGACGGCGGAGAAAGAGGAGCAGGAGGAGGATGCGGGAGGAGGGTAGCAAGCGCCGCGGCAGCTCCGCACGCGCCAGTCGGGACATCACGCTAAGCGCGGTCGGCAGCATTCGCGCGCCGCTCGGCATTCCGCGCGCACCACGAACGGCCGTTCCGCTATGGTGCCACAATGACCTCGCTGCCCGGCATGACCCTCGACCCGTCGGCTCCGCCACCCCTGCTGCTGGACAGCTCGTACGTGTCACCGGACTACGGGAACCTGTCGCTGCTGTCATCGCTGCCGGCAGCAAACATCAGTTCGAACAAGTTGTACCAGGTTCCCGTCGGCTTCATCGTGCTCCTCTCCATATTCTACGGCATCATATCACTGGTGGCCGTCGCCGGCAACTTCATGGTCATGTGGATCGTGGCCACGTCACGGCGCATGCAGACCGTCACCAACTTCTTCATCGCCAATCTGGCCGTAGCCGACATCATCATCGGACTGTTCTCCATCCCGTTCCAGTTCCAGGCAGCTCTGCTGCAGCGCTGGGTGCTGCCCGAGTTCATGTGCGCCTTCTGCCCCTTCGTACAGGTGCTCTCGGTCAACGTGTCCATATTCACGCTGACCGCCATCGCACTGGACCGTTACCGCGCCGTTATGTCGCCCCTTAAGGCTCGCACCACCAAGCTGCGCGCAAAGTTCATCATCTGCGGCATCTGGACGCTCGCGGTCGCGGCCGCTCTGCCGTGCGCACTCGCTCTGCGTGTCGAGACGCAGGTCGAGTCGCACGCGCTCAACCTGACCAAGCCGTTCTGCCACGAGGTTGGCATTTCGCGCAAGGCCTGGCGCATCTATAACCACGTCCTCGTGTGTCTGCAGTACTTTTTCCCGCTGCTCACCATCTGCTTTGTGTACGCGCGCATGGGCCTCAAGCTCAAGGAGAGCAAGTCTCCCGGCAATGCCCAGGGTGCGCGCGACGCCGGCATCCTCAAGAACAAAAAGAAGGTACGTACGGGGTTTTTTAGTCTGCTGCCACAAGTTTTTTTTATAAAACTCGCTTGCTCCTTCGCGGTGCTAAAACATTGATTTGTCACATGATTGGGTCATTAATTGTTTTGACAGTCGTTAGTTTGACGCTTATGTCTCTGTGAAGCTATTTAAAGGTCTCCTCTGGGTGCACTCGCATAGAGCCGCATCATTTGTGTTTTTGTTGTTCTAGGTCATATTTATCTGCCGCATGTCATTACTAATATCAACTCTGTGCCGAAGTGCAATGTCCTAAAAGCGCACGCAACGAAGAGAAGTTTGCTCTTCGATCGAGCGTGGTTCCAACCGCGGGACCGAAACAACGGCAAACTTTTTTACGTGTGCGTGGGACATACTATGCCAGAGATTCCCTCAACATTGAGAACGCGCAGCGAAAAGTGGACGACGTCCTGTGACGCGCGTATATTTTATGGCGTAAGGAAACAGTAAAACTCTGGCCGCTCGAATAACTTTTGAGAATACCTGCCGAGGTGAAAAGCACTGTGGGGTCTTCTTTTGTTTTTGTTTTTTTCACTTTACTACTGCGTTCGCATTTATTTATGCTACCATCAGTATTCAGAAGATTCCCGCCGACTCAGAGCCTTCTGTTTGCAGGTAAAAACCGCAGAAGGGTTATTTTTGATGTTTTCTTGTAAAATAACGGTGTGAGGTTGTAAAAGAAAAAGACTGGCCGTAATGTATCGCATGATAAGCAGGACCAGGCGAGCTTATATAGACAGGACAAACTCACGTGTGACGAAACCCTCGTTGATGTATATAGAAATTCAACCGCCACTGATTCAACCTTACAGAGCGGCTTAGCTGGATGTTTTTCGGCCGTATACATTTTTTGATGCCCCACATGTGTTTTCTTACTAATCACTGAAAGTATTCGAAAAGCTGCAAGCTTCTCAAATGCTTTCAATGGTCTTGCAGTTATTTTTACCAAGCCTACTATTCTCACTCACTTTTTGCGCATCTTGTTCGGAACGACATTTCCGAAGCGAGCTGCTTCAATTACATTCAACTGCCAGTCTTAGGCGTTGAACCTGGTTTCAACTCAACGAATATTACTCACAACCAAATTGGTGCCTTCGGTTGTGACGTTTGCATGTGCGTGGATGTTAACTGGCATAAAATAAATTTAATGCCAGCTGATGTAAGGGCATATCAAAATGCTTTAGACACGAACCTAATGTCATTACCGAGCTTGCCACCCTAAGCGAGTCAAGTTTTCTAGAGTGTTTATTTATGAGCAGCCTTGCAGGTACGAATGTTATTGTCGAAGAAATTTTACGCTATATAAAACTGTTTTCATTGAAGTAATGATATCTGTGTATGACTTCAAATAATGGCGTTAATATAGGATGTAACCTCAGAAAGTGCTCTATTCACTCAAAAATAATAATAAAACATGTCGTCAAAACTAATAGAGAGTGCCGTAGTATATGTTTTGTCAGGACGAAGGCTCGAAAATGGTTAAGAAAGTGAACAAAGGGAACTAGTAGATTTCTTGGCTCTATGAACATACTTTATTACACTAACTTGACTAATTCTGAAGTCTAGAAAAATAGAATTGTCAAGCTGTGCGAGAACGATTGCAGCGGTAACGCTTGCAATAACTTCACGCTCTCAGTTTTACCTACGAACTCCTAATATAGTACTTATTATCATCTGTGGCAAGAAGCTTGCTATGGGCGTTCGACTTGGCGACCTTCTTGGTATACTCACTAATTATGTGTTCTTCTATCGTTTTTCTCGGCCAAGCAGCGCGTGGCATTACAAGTGGATGTTGAAATGAAAGTAAAGTTGTATTTTTTTGGTAGTCAATGCGAAGGCCTCTGCGTTGTTTGCCACCCTGGATCGCGAAATTCCGGCGTAAGAAATAAAAAAAGGAAAAACCTCCACGTGCTCTTTTGAGGTGTTTCCAAAACGAATAAAACTTCAAAGAACGTTTCGAGGAAGTCGTTACCTAAGGGCGCCTCTTGTCGAAGTAAAGCATATAGAAAACAAAATAACACCTGAGCAAAAACGCAAAAACAAGCATTGAAAGTGTGGCAAAGAGCTGCGTTGAATTTTCTCCAATATGGTTCGTTTCATCGTGATATGACAGTACCGTTGCGTATCGGGGTCTTGTTAAGCTAATATCAGAAGTCCGCAAAACAAAACAAAAAAATCTGGGGGATCCTCAAGCTTCGCATTAAGAGTTGAATGCCATTGCGAAGTCCTGTCCCTGCGTATACCGAGTTCAAAATGGTTTGTGTCAGTGAAACTTTCGCATACGGCTGCATTTAGTGTATTGGGTAGCATGCTTTTATTAATAAGACTCATGGCCCGATCTCAGTCTGAGTGAATCGACTGAAGAATTTTTCAATCGACGTGCTTCATGTCTGCTCCATATACACAGGTGCCTAGGAAAGAGAATAGGTATAGTTTCTTATTAACTATTTGAGTGATAAGGTACTATATTCGGAAAGCGGTTTGTGGGTCGGACGTTTTCCTGACATCTGTTAGCTAATCATTAATGTGTGATTAGCGAATGAAACTGATGGATGAAAGGACTTACGAACGAAAAGTTTGTGAATACAGAGGATACCACATATCACTCTGTCGTTTATCGCGTGTGTGTTTAACACGTTTATAGTAGCATTGGTTGTGCTTTATACGTGAGCCTTCTAATTATTTTCAACACTGATACATTCTTGTTCGTGTACTGTACTTTGATTCCTTTGTAATTCTAACACCGCCTAAGTACCGCACCGACTTATATGCAAACCAGCCCCGTACTGCGAGAATTCAACGCAGCTGTATATTAGAATCCAACGCAAGCAAATCAAAATCTGTAGCAACAAGATAGTCGTTCCAGGCTGGCAGCTAGAAAACCAGTTGCTGGCGGGTGCACGAAACCTGTGCTAGTAGTGTCATCGCACTTTTGGCAACGCGCCTTCATTCACAAATGCAAGAAGCTACAAAATTTAACAGGCGCGAGCAGTTTGCAGTTGTTAAACTTCAACAACTTCCGTTCCAATTATTCAGGAATAATGAAAACTAGCTAGATCGCTCCTTGCGACACCGCTATGCTGATCAATACACTGTGACATTGTGTGTAGTTTTCTTTTTTTTTTGCTCTTCATTTGTTGCATTCACATTGTTGTAATGTCGAGCATCACTGTTGTTGAGAGTGTACAGAAACACCGCATATTAAGAGCGAACACATAGAATTACACGGTAAAAGAAAACTAATAGTAAGAGCAGCCCACGAACTCCTTGGCCTCATTTATTTCTTTTTTTTCTTTCGGCACTAAGCGTGGCTTTTCTACAAATGGGACCCCCTAGTTTTGAAACCAAACCAGGATATCGTTCCTAACGGTATCAACCAATGATGCCATTGGTTGTTATCTTGATGTCAAGCACATCGTAATCAGGTGGATAAACAGTAGATAGTTTAGGCGACACATCTTGAACTATCGTTCAACTTATGCTTCATGAATCAAGCGAGTAATGCAACTTTGCAATAGGTCGAACAGTATACTGCAAGCGTTACATTAATTTTCTAGGGGACTAAACGAAAATCGCACTTTCTCTTCCACTTCAAATGTTTTTTTTTTGTTTATCGCAGTACTTCGATGGGATGTGGACTTACTATAGCTTATTTTAGCGGAAATTTTAAAGTGCCCTCTTGGATAATAATTTCACTTGCGCCGCGTTTTAATGTGAAGTGGGCAAAAGAGTTCCATAAAATTTCGCCAGCGGCTTTCTAGCAAGCATGCATGTTTTGAAGGTGACACACTTTCATTACTGCTCTCATGATCGTGAAGGTTTAGTAAAAAAGAACCCAATTCACCTCCTGTTTGAAACACTTTTTTTAGTCACCCTTTTTCATATACAACTTACTCTATAATAAAAACGTATTGAAAGGAGAACCGTGGCGAGAAGTTTCTGGCAAAGTTCCCACGAATCATTTTACTTGATAATGAACTGAGCTGCGGTTCAAGAATGCTCTCCATAACTGGCGCAGTGAACTTCTGGGCAGCAAGTTGATCGCTACGCATACTCGTATCGGTCTCTGCACAACTTCGTCAGTTCAGTTTCTTGTGCGATGCCTGTTTAACCGTTGGTAAATACATGCGAAATCTATTCTGGATCATTGTGTGATCGAAGCAACCTTTCTCTAAGCTTAAAAAATTTAATGGACGAGAGAGAGAGAGGGGGATATATAGAGAGAAAAGGCAGGGAAGTTAACCAAGCTTGGCTCGGTTGGCTACCCTACGTAATGGACGAGATGAAAGAAAACTTTATGGCCTAATTCTTCCTTGTTGGCGACATACATACGAAGACAAGGTAGCCAGATAAAATGCAGAATAACTTTCTCTCGTTTGACAATATGACGAAATAACGTAAATGATAATGAATGTACGCAAAGAAAAAAAAGAAGCTGCGGTGTAGAGAGTCGAAGCCACACCTCCGGGTTTGTGCGCGATGCTTTCTGCATAGCAATTCATGCACACGGCTACATCACGGTAGTCCTGTCCACGCACATGTGTGTTTATGAATTCCTGACCCACACAGCGCAACTGACGGCCGTGGTGGCTGGTTCCCGCAGGCGCCGCGCTGTAAGTGAGCGGGCAGCGGGCCAATAAAGCAGCCGTAGCCTTCGTTCGGAAGGAGTATAAATACTTCTCGGGCAGTTCGCGCTATAAATGCGGAAAACATTGAAAGCATATAAATTCATTTTGCATTGATCGGAGCCTACAAGGGTTGGGCAGGAATGAGAGATTTCTCGCAGGCGTTTTCGGTGAGCACCTGGCATCAAGCGACTCGAGTTCATTCGCTTTGCGTCGTCTCATTCGATAATCCGCTCTTTCGTTCGTAATAGCGTTGTTCACAGCGTGACTTTCGGAAAACCTTCAACGCATGCGCGCAAGTTCTCGCAAAACGCACTCGCTCGTATTCTCGTCCTACGCTGTACTGAGCATCGC